ATCCTACCATTGCTTTCCGAGGGACGAAGCTCTACGATCACAGTGGCTGGCAAAGATCTCACGAGTGGATCTGGTCGTTTCGAAAAACTCCAGGCTGTGCTCAGAACATTTTACAACTGACTGCTACGAACGAGGCTTGAAAGCAGAAATTCTTGGTTTGAAACCCAGATCTACGCTAAAACCAGGTGCAATACCCACGGTTTTTTCGCATCGGAGACCATCAAAAAGACCTCGACTTTCATCGGAGAAACGTTCAGAAGAGAAAGTCAGAAAAGAAGTAAGTGAATCGCGAATTACTCTCTTGTAACTGGGTTGGGTTGTTGCAAAGCTTGGGTTGTTGCAAACACTTGAAGCTGCTCATCATTTATGCATGATTGATAAAAAAAAAATTGAAAGGTGAATGCAGTTTGAGGGCAATAACAATTTATATCTTAAGGGATATCACCCGAATAGGTTCCATTGAGAAACATTAAATTTTCACAGAAAAGTATTTCTTCTCCTTAAGCAAAACAATATCCTGCCATGGAATTCCTTCTAGTTTCATGTTTTTTTTTTCTGAGTAATCTTTGTACTTCGTCTCTCCTGAAAATTTTTGACCAGTAGGTAAACAAAATTAAATTGTTTCAGAATAAAGTGATTATTCTTTAATTCTAGGACATTATACCTGCCCTTGTTAACTAGCAGGTGAACAAAATTATTACAAATAGACTATATATAAGTTGTGGATATTATTCTTTAAATAATGAATTCTTTTAACCTTCTTTACTTCTGTGTGAAACCAGTGCAGGCTTTCAACCAGAGGAGGGCAGGGTCAGGTGTTATATTTTCCAAGAAAATCCCATTGAATCATTGTGTAACCATATAGTAGCATAGTTTATCCCCCATACCTACATTTTTCATTCTCTCAAAGGGTCACTAACCCATACCATAACAGAGTTAATATTTTTTCTGTTATAGTATATAGCCTCTGTAACTGCACAACCTAGTTGTGGAATCGAAGAACATGCAGCTTCAGCTTTAGAACAGCCTGCACCTGTTGATGTAGTGAATTGTGGAGCAAGTACATCAACAGACAGCCCATCATATCCATTCCCACATGATCTAGGGCCTAAAAGCACGTTGATTGAGTCACAAGCAGTGCAGGTGAATTTGCCAAACAAGGGTGTGGATTTTGGGATCCAAGTCAATCTTCGTGGTCTCCATTTAATGATGAAATCTACTGACACCCAAGTCGAGGTTGATGTTTCAGAAAGCAGCACCCGGACTGAAGAGGTATTCCTTCCTGAAATTGAAGATAACAAGGAAGAAGCAACTGAAGCTGCTGCTTCCCCAGAAGTCTCTCCAAGAAAAGATGGCATCTACCTTCCCACAAAACAAGAAGATTCAGATGATTCGAACTTGTCAGGATCAGATAACGAACACCAAGGGGAAACAAAATGGGAAAAGCCACAGGATGATACCAAATACATTGTATTTAAACAAGAGCTATTTAAATTGTTTAAGTACTGTCCTGAGTGTGGTGCAGTTGTGATTAAGAGGAACCAATCCACACAAGGAAGCCAACTATTTGTCACCCTAGAATGTATGAATAATCATAAGTACTCCTGGCAAAGCCAGCCAATGCTTGAGGGGATGGCAGCTGGAAATTTGTTGCTGTCATCATCTATTTTGCTCAGTGGCTCTACCTTTACAAAAGTAGCATCTTTGGCAGATATCTTAAATTTGAAAATTTTCAGCAACTAACACTAAGTTGTCATACTGCCAATTTAGAGGTCTACCATAGTGTGCAGACCAAATATGCACCCAAACGGCAGCACTTCTCTTATAATGGCATGGTTGCTCGAACTCAGTTGGCAGCCCTAGACCATAATGCCAACACTGGTAGACAACAAGCCACTGTATCCAGGGGTGCCAACCAAGGGGAGCTGCAATACAAGGTAGTGTTTCCAAAAAATACAAAAGAATGGGTGGCAAAGCCCATATTTGAGAAGACAATCAATTATCATCTCAAGCCAATACTTAATGCCATTGTAGAGAGAAAATGCTTAAAACCACAAGAGAGGAGTGCAACA